TGCGCGGCGGCTGGGCCTGCGGAGCGGCTCATTGCGTGCCGCCTCTCTCCTGTCTCCGTAGCTGCGGGAGTACAAGGTGGTCGGGCGCTGCCTGCCCACGCCGAAATGCAGGACCCCTCCTCTGTACCGCATGCGGATCTTCGCCCCGAACCACGTTGTCGCCAAGTCCCGGTTCTGGTACTTCGTTTCTCAGTTGAAGAAGATGAAGAAGTCTTCTGGAGAGATTGTGTACTGTGGCCAGGTGCAGGATTAAAAACCTAAAGATGTGGGAGATTTGTAAGGTTTCAGCTGCTCTGTGTGGAAGGAGTTTATAGAATGGCTGTTATTGGGGGCGAGGCTGAAATTCATTCATCCTTCAGTTGCAGTGAAAATGAGTGTGAAATTTTGTTTATGGAAGTGGTATATGTGCAGCAAGATAAATAGAAACTTAGTTCTTAGCAGTTCAGAATTATGAACTATGCCACTACTCAGTGCTGCTGTCTCGTTCTGAGACTTGCTTCACTGTGCAGTATACATCTTAATATATATACACCTTTATCTTGGGAGAGTGAATGTTTGTGTGCTTAAACTTGTCTACCTTGATGTTTCAAGGACATTCTTTAGAGCTCAAATCTTGTGTTTTGATTCTCATGCTGAATTAGTAAATCTCTCCACTCTGCATTGCCAAGACTTAAATCCAGCTATGTTGCTGAGGGGAAAGAGAAACAAGTTGGTTTTGACTATCAAACTTAGAACAGTGGTTTCATTAGAGCTCTAAAGCATTTATTCTTAAACTTGTGAAATGGTGACAATGCACTAACTAGGAGTAGCCCCTAACTGCTTTCGTGCTCATGTGTAATTTCAGGTGTATGAGAAGTCTCCTCTGCGAGTGAAAAACTTCGGCATTTGGCTGCGCTATGATTCTCGCAGTGGAACCCACAACATGTACAGGGAGTACAGAGACTTGACCACAGCTGGGGCTGTCACTCAGTGCTGTAAGTACATGTAGGTGTGTGAGATATAAAATGTGCATCAGTGTATCAGCAGAAGATTTAATCTCAAACTGATTTGAGACCTGATCCGTGGTAAGATAACTGGACAAATAAAGCAGGGAGTTGCCAGATAATCCCATAGATGTGTAAGTGTGATCTAGGTGGTATCTTGCTTGTTACACTTCTTGCAGTTTCTTTAGCTGAAAATATTCCCATTTCATCTTGGTGTAACTTTGTACAATTCTGGCAATGAGTTTTGCTATACAAACCAGGAGTTTAATGACTTTAGGTGCTGTATGTATCTTTTGCACTATATTTATTGTTCTAAAATAACAAGTATTACCTTCCCAAGTCTTGTGGGGAGAATATTTCAGATACCATGTAGAACGTAATTTGCATTTGTCCTTTGGACACCAAGTAGAAAAAGAAAATCACAGTGGAGAAACCCTGTAATCTCTTGTTACTCCAAGATCTCGTTGCCTTTGTTCAGGAAGAATTAAAGGTTGTCCTGATTTTGTGAAGTACTTGAGGAATAGAACATTTGTATAGCCCAGAATCCAGAGTGTTACTGAATGCACATAAAAACCCAAAGAATATTGTTCTCAATAACAATATTCTTGTCATGTGTGCAAATATTAAATGTATCTTGTCGCCTTTCAATAGCTGAAGTGCTATTGAAAGTGAAATGTAAGGTCCTACATTAGCTTACTATAATCCCTGTTAATTTACACATCCAAGGAATGCTTAAGAGACACGAGAGCCTAATTTATCATGATACAATGACCAACACCTGTCTCAAGTATTCTTGAACACAAAAGTATCAGTTTTTATTAGGTATGTGAGGTCTTCATGGGAGGCATTGTAAGCACAACAGTATTTCAACAGGCATATCTTGTGGAACTAGCTATGAACATAAGGATTCAAGGGCAGTGCGTTGTGCTGCTGCAGGGAGAAATTTTAAGGTAGCCCATGCAGAGATGGCTTCCTCCTGTTCTGAAAGCCTCATTATGTGGCTGAGTATCAACTCATGTTTTTACCACTGGTCAATTTTAAGAAAGGTAAAGATAACTTCAGATCCTACTTTCACCTGCACCCTCCTTTTGGAAGGGAAATTGTTTTGAAGTTCACATGTCTTTCTAGTAATCATATTTCAGTGTTGACTGTGAATCACAGGTTTCTTCCTTGTACAAAAAGTGAACTAGCCCCACGTATAGTACTTGTGTACATGTGTACCTTCTTGAAATTGTGCAAGAAGAGTAAGATGGCTCTTCCTTGAAGGAGTTTAGTTACGAGTTACAGGAAGAATTTGCTGCTTGTTGGTTCTGTGATATTTCTGCCATCACTTTACATGCTAAAAACTGATTTTACCTAGAGCTGGGCAGAAATTTAACAGATTGTAGATGGCACTGCGAACATTTCTTGAAAAGCTGGTGGTAAGATTTTTGAACTGAAAATGTCTTAAGGTGTATTTTTAACAAGTTCTCTTGTTCCAGACCGTGATATGGGAGCTCGTCACCGTGCCCGAGCTCACTCCATCCAGATAATGAAAGTTGAGGAAATTGCTGCTAGCAAGTGCCGCAGGCCAGCGGTGAAGCAGTTCCATGTAAGTGAACCACACTGCAGTGGTTGGTGGGTCCTAGTGTAGGCAAGGACTAGGAGAGGGAAGCTCTCCTGTTTGATACAGGTTTGCTTTGCAGCCAAAACTAGGGAGGGAACCAAATTTGTGTGTGTATAAGTTTACGCTTATGGTATGTTACGATCAAGACTTCTAATGCTAGAACTGTTTGAAAGAAAGCCACAATAAAGAAAATATGTGTTATAGTGCATAAAACATGCCTCTAATGGGCATTTCTTTAAAAAAAAAAAATGCAGAATTGACGCATCTGTTAGCTCGTATGAAGTGGTCCGGTTTGTGGTTGCATTACTTGTGTGTGTAATTTAGTCATTGCATACAGCTTGGCTCTACTGTGAACTGTTTTCTGTTGTTCATCTAATATCTCAGTTAACATAGAAACATTTTCCTTGCAGGATTCCAAAATCAAGTTCCCTCTGCCGCACAGAGTTCTGCGCCGCCAGCACAAGCCACGTTTCACCACCAAGAGACCGAACACTTTCTATTAAATACAAAACGTGCTGTCAACTCTGTGTTATAATAAAGGTCTTATTTGAACCTTTGACTCCTGGTGGTCTTTTTTAAACAGTCCTGGATATCTAGCAGTCCCCCTTCCTACTCTTTATTTTCTGTAGACTACTGGCAGCCTACTGTTTACAGCACTGATTGCCTTGAACATGTGAGTGTTTGAGGTGCTGACTTAAATTACCAAAATCAATAAACAAAATGTTAATAACCAGCTTTCCAGGTCAGATTAAGTCTTGTCAAGCAGCTATAAAATCCTACATTGATTTTGTCCCTTTGGCATACTAAGTAAACAGTAGGATTTGGGGAGAAGGCATGTTTTGGTGCACAGAGAACTCAGACTAGTCAGCTGTAAGAACAAAGACCTCATAACTTCAGTTAAGCTGCTTCAATTTTTATAAAGCCAAACCTTTAGTTCTATCCTCAGCCTTTTCAAGGGTGTTATGCACTGCTCCGAGTTGACTGAAGCATACAGAGATACCTGTGCCTAGAAATTAAAAGTGACAAAGGGCTTGGCAGACCTATCTTTTATTAGACCCGTGAATGAAGATGGTGAAAATTAGTTTTTGTATCCAAACCCAATCCTTAGGCTACTCCAGTAGTAGTCTAAAACAGATGCCACAGTAAAAAGCTTGCAGATGCTCTGTAGTTAAGGCTGATGAAATAGGTTGCTTCACCCCTAGCATGGTTACATGTGGTGCCTGTTTTAAGTGAAGGTGTGTTTGCAGTGTTTCCTGAACAAAAGGTCATCAGCTGCTTTAGCTATTTGAATTAGTGTATGGGTCTTGCCTGGCCATAGAGGGCTGATGCTCTGTTTGATCTATATGGCAGCTTGAAAACAACTCCAGGTGCCAGGAGAGTGCAGGGAAGTGCTGTGCAGAGGAAACTAGGAATGTTTTAATTCTGGGTTGGCTGGAGAGCTGCAACACAGCCTGGAGGGGAGCTCTGTTGATTGCTAGTGAGAACGCTTGGCGTAAGGGGGTGGTGGTGGTGGTTCTGCAGAGCTTGAACCAGTCAGTGCTGCCACAGCAGCCCTTCTATGGCATCCTGGCCCTGTGGTTCAGCTTTGTGCTCCACATCGCCTCCACAGAGAAGGGAGCTCCTCTGTCCAAAACATGAACTGAAACATACGGGATTAATTTGGGCACTCCACAATCTCCCCGACACAAGGCAAATAAACCCAAAGCAGCTGGAGGGCTTCGTGGGAGTCAAAGGGTGGGAAATAGGGGCATCCGAAAGCCCCCGGGGTTTTTCAACTTTTTAATTGAAGGAACAATGGGCTTCGGGTTGAAGTTTAAAGCATAAAATTGAAGGTGGCTGGCTGCGTCCTGAGCCGCGGCGCCGCGCAGAGCGCCCACATGTCCCGGGGAGAAATGCCGCAGGCCCCGCGCACGCGCAGAGCGCGCCCGTCACGTGGTCCCGGCGGACTCACG